AAAAAAATAAAAAATCGCGTATGGCACATAATTAACAACAATAAAAATGCCTGGAAATAAAAAAATCATGTCTGGTGGATCTATCCAAAGGCAAAAAATTAAAAAGTACACTTTAAAAAATTATTTTAAAGTAAAGGATTTTTACCTATGCAGGTAAGATGCGCATTAACAAACGCAACCACTACCGCCAGCCAGATAGCCCGGACTCTAATCGAAAGAGCAAGGAAGACAGCATATCAAAAAACCTACTGTTCTGAAATTCTTGTTTTCCAAACGTTGCTAGCTCCCGTACTATAACGGAGCAGTTGAAAAAAACAGTGAGCAGAGTCCTATTAGGGCAGGGCTAGCAAAATAAATAAATCAGTGACACAAGTGGATGATATTGAAGTATTAGTGTTTTGAAACTCATTAATACAGTTTATTGTATGATTTTCACTGTAAAGGGTTTTACAAAAATGTTAATAAATTATTAACGCTTTAGAATACTATTGTACAGAGAAACACGTGTCGAGATTTTTGTAAACCGTTAATAAATTATTAACGCTTGAGAAAGCGTTGTTGCGGTTTTTGTAAAACTATAGTGAAACTCATACAATAAACTGTATTAATGAGTTTTAATATGGATTTTCATCAAGTATCGGCCAGTTCTATTCAATTATTAGTGTTTTAGATTGTATATTTAAGTCTCCGAATGAAGTTGTTAATTTGTTGAATGCTCCAATTACTCGAGCTGAGTATTTGCAACATTGTTGCAAGATGCTTTCTCAAACGTTTACCTACATGTTATGGCTTTGGGGTTTTTTGCTCCACAAGACACCCTATATTTAGTTACCACTTTGTAACCGCATAGATAGGAGCGAAACACCCAGGTTAACAAAATAATAAATATAGTTTGAATAACTAAAAAATACGCTTTTAAAGAACATCGCACTAAAAAGCTAAAAACAATTTTTTTTAGTAAGCTTAAAACATTAACNCTGCACGAGATTCGATCAAAAAATATGTGACCATGATCTGGCTTCATCATTGCTACGAGGAGCTCACAATAAATAGGAGCTCACAATAAATGTCTCATATGATTGTGAACTTTTTAGGAGTTGATGAAAAATATGACAAGGTGGTGAAATAAACTTATATTTTGTAAAGTGAGATCAAAAAATTAAGGTCAAAAATTTATGCTAATCTATTTTAAAGGGTTTTCAGAATGATGAGTTTTTGATTTTCTTTAAACATTTGTTTTCAAATTTCTATTGGCAAGTTTCAAAGTATAATAAATTCTTATCCTTGTGAAAAGAGAAAATGAATAATAGAAAGGAAAATTGAGAAATGTTGATTCTTGAAAACATTGTTTTGAGCTGGTTGCCTATGCAATCACTGACACATAAATTATAAAAATGATAAGAAAATTATGTCTCTAGATCAGGGGGCTCCAACCTTTTTTACTCAAGGGCCACATTGTAAATTTTGGGGGATAGGCGGACCAGCAATATTTCAGGGCTGAAAGTCGAGCCCCCCCTCTCCGTACACCCAGAATTTTTTCATAATTGAGAGATCAGTGGTGGTTTTTGAGAGTTTCTTGCGTTAGTTTTTTTTAAAGTTTCTATGTTTCCCTATATGAATTTTTTGTTGGCTAAACAAATTTTCTGCGATAAAAAATCTTTTACTAAACAAACAATTATATTTGTTATAATAAAAAAATATTTGTTCTGCAAAAGGAGGGTAATTTCAAGTAGGTCTAATAAAAACACGGAATGATGAAAAACCAAATCTTTTCAATTTACTACAAAATGTACTTTATTGAATTTTAAAGACAACTTTACAATACATGTGTTCACAACAAGGAAGTGTGTAAAGCTTAAAAAAAATACTTTTTAGTGAGAGGATTGCATTTGTTTGCCACTTGATATTTCAACTCATTTAGGGTCAAACTTCGTAGTTCCGACCATTAGGATTGATTTCAAATGTTCAACTGACAAGGATGATCTGTATTTAAATTTAACAAACTTCATTTTCGAAAAAGTTTGACCACTTACTACCGCTCAAGGGTTGATCGCTACTTATTTACAGTTAGTTTTACACTATTTAGAACAGAAGTGGCAAGTGAGAGACGAGTGGTGTTATTATTTGAAGGTGAAAATGTTTAAAAGGAAATATATTATCACATAAAAATAGATTTTCTTTTTCAGTATTTTTCTCGGGCCGGAAAAAATCTGTTCACGGGCCGGATGTGGCCGGCGGGCCGTAAGTTGGAGACCCCTACTGTAGATGAATGATACTTTGTGAAAATGAATCTGGAGGCATATATAAACTTCCAAACTGTTTGGCTTCTGTATTACTGCGTATGCCTGAAATAACTAAATACATTTGTTTCATTCAGTGTGGTACTAGCCGTCATGGCAAAATTTGTACATACTTTACATGAATGTTTTCTTAAACAATTTCTCAAAAGATATGCACAAACATAGCCAAGCTGTTGCCTTCGGGAGTGGCTAGAGTTCTATAATCATTTGTCTCTACTCTCAAAGGTTTACAGGGATTTTTTGGAACTTTCACAAGAATCTTCATTCTATTTGTGTCAGCATCTGTAATACTAGATAGAATCTCACTAGTATCTTCTAGACAGTTATGTTGATGAAAATTCATTGTTACAGAGCCNACAGGCGTCAGTGCAGGAATCTTCACAGAAAATTTCCTGCATGTTTGTAAACTGGTGGTCGTGAGGTTACAGAGTTGAATATTTGTTGTTTACTTTCATTGAATTGATATACAGTACCTTTCCAATTGTTATTGAAGTACTTTTAATGTACTCTTTTTAAGTATATTTCGGCATCTAATTGGGGAAATCTTGTACATTTCAAATTTTTTGTAAAAGCGATTCCCATGAAAATATATTTTCATACTTGCAACAAACCTAGTAGT